GTCTCCTTCTTTGGAGGTCTTTAAACAGAGGCTGGATAGCCATCTGTCCGTAATGGTTTGATTTTGACTTCCTGCATGGCAGGGGGTTGGATTGGATGGCCCTTGTGGTCTCTTCCAGTTCTGTGATCTATGATTCTATGATTCTGTGAAAACAAAACAAAAGAGAATGCATGAGGCAAACAACAGGAGAAGTGAAAAGGAAGGAAACAGATGGGTCTTACCACATTGAAAATACCACACTGGGCCAATCTTAGATTTTAGTTTAGGTGTGTGTATGATAATAGAGGAGTGAGAAATAACATGGTCTGAAATGTTGTTGAGTTTACAAAGATACTTGCATGACATTCTGGAGGGCTGCTTTAGACTTTAACCATCCAAAATTTGTGCTGGTTGAAAGAACCTTTTCATCCAGTTCCAGAGATGGTAAGTGCTATTTTAAAAGATCAAGCACCATGACGAAAAAATGCAGTGCATTTTGTACATTCTTGTTCTGAACACATTTCCCATCCTTTTTTCTTACCAGCTGTGGAGCAGAGGTGTTCCCACTTGCAAAAGCAGATGGAGGAAGAAGCTTGACAAATACAGTAGATGAAAGGCAGGAGATTCAGGGGCTGCATCCTTTCTTGATGATTTGGGATTAAGGAATCTATAATCTCCAGTGAAAGCCAGATGAAATGCATAAAGTGTTGCTGCAAAGAAAGTGCTGTCATGTGTACCCACTAACCCAGCCTTGCATGGTAGTGGAACATGCAACAGAGCCTGAGCTGAAGATCTCAATTTTTTTTTTATATTTAAATTTTTATTAAAAGATACATTTGTTCCACAACTATCATAATGAAATATTCATATCATTTTCAATATATATTTACATTATATACAACTGACTTCCACTGACTCTCCAGTTTGTCATCAACTATTTTTCAATTTACTCTTATTGTCTTCATATTCAATGTATTATACCATTTAGATCCTCTGTGTGCTACAACCCAAGCTTTAACATTTTTGATCATTCATATTTAAATCTCAGTACCTTTATATTGATAGTTCTATACATTCATTTAACAGTATTCATTTCGATACATTCTTTATCTCAAATTTTGAAGAGGCAAACTAAATGTCTTTCAGACATCCTGGGCCCAAGTAATTTAAGGCTCTGTGGGTCAAAACAAGCACCTTGAAC